AGCGTTGTCGTATGTGGATCAATTTTCAAAAAATAAAACTGAGTATTGATCTAATTTCTTAGATAAAATGCACTTTATTGAAAAATTTCAAAAGTATAATGCTGTTATCCAAGATTAGTTTGCAACATTAGGTAGGTAGTACAATCAAACATACGAGAGTATGTATGTAGCCTTGACGCCTTTATTTCGAAAGCACTAGAGGTGGTTTTCGAAATTATTTTATTACGACTGACGTGTGCTTGTCGGTACATTTGCTCAGCACAGAGCGGTTGAAACATCTCGTATACAATCTTGTGTTACGACCGTTGCGGCACGTACACACTTCTCTACAATCAGTCCTGTATTTCGGGTTGCCAATAAACAAAATAAACTAAAATAAAAAACCAATAAAAAATTCTACATCCATTATATTTTATCGTCATTAGTTGTGACAATTAAAATTAATACATTTCAATTGCAGTTGAGATTTCATGTTTATTTTTACAATAAAATGTACGAACTCAATTAAATGTCAAGTTTCTCTTATTTGTTAAGGCCTCCTTTGCTCATCCATTATCTCACAGAGTGAAGCACTAGTTACGTGTAGTTCCATTGTGTAGATACTGAATGAACATAGAAGTTTCAGTAGTAAAAAATCAGTCTAAACGAAGATGCCTGTCCGATCGTTCGCCGTTGGTCCCCAAGCCACTACAATACTGTACTAACACCAGTTTCGGCCTTACATAACTAACACAGGAACCAAAATATAACTTATAAATAAAGAATAGTACCTACCGATGGTTAAAATTCAGTCAATTTGTAAAATTTGCCAAAACTATACCGAGATTCCAAATAAGACTAGTTCTGTAAAATTCTCAGTCAATTTCGTTTGGCATTTTCCTTACACATGCAATTAAAGCTTATTCAAAATGATGGGATAGTAAATAAGTAATTAGATTCAGTAAAGCAAAGAAAAACACAACCTTGAGGTATCTGCACCATATAAACACCACAAAACAAGGTAAAATAATGCATGCACGTAATTTTCGTCTAACCCTTTTAAAGGTATAAAGCAAAAACAAGCGCCTAATCTTAACATTAATTTAAGACCAACCACTTTAATACGTATTGAAAAGAATTTGTTCATCCATACATTATATAAGTTTATATACAGCAAGTTTTACAATGCCTAAATAAATAATAATTACCACCAACTATACACACGCCTCCCGCACCCGTCACCGCGTATTTCCCTTTCCGTGTTCAACTGGCGACACCGGTCTCGCGAAATCCACACGCTTTTGTTTTACTACGGAATCCTACGATCCCGTGTTCAATTCGCGTCAACTGAGCACGCTTTTGCGATCAAGCAACGTTAAAAGAAGTTTTACAAAACAGTGTGTAATTGAATTGAACACGGTTTTTTAACCTGTCTATTCGAAACAAATCCGTACTGATTTAGCGCGTTCGGAAATGTTCGGGATAAATCGTGCGGGCCGAAGCAGGCGAGAGCGCCCGAAGTTGGATTCGCGCGCTTCTCATTGCAATTTGTTATTTGTTTGTTACTGTGCGTTCAAGGTTATGTTTTGTTTACATAGTGCATAATGGAAGAGTTTAAAAGGGTTTTCAGTGAAATCACTAAAGATTTTGAAATACTCAACTATGACGGACAGTCTAGTGACAGTTATAAGTGTAAAGTTCAGTGCTTATTACATTATGACGGAGAATACGACGAAAAATGTGCTAGATTTGTGGAATGTTTTTCAAAACAAACAAATTCTAACTGGGTTATGAAAAGACGGTTTGCAGAACCCATACGTTATGAATTCAGAAAATTGTTTGTATGCCATCTTTCGGAAAGAAATAAATTGATAAATAAAACGCAAGGTGTTAACAGAAACTATAATTGCAAGTCATCTCTTAATATAAAATTTTTGAAAACTACACCAAGTACTCTGAGAAGTTCAGCCCTGCTGAGAAAAGGATATAATGTTATAGTTGACATCCACTTCCATCATTCCCACAGAGTTAATGTAGCTCAATCGTTATCCTTGCTCCGATGTTCGAACGATACGAAACAAATATTTATAACTTATTTCGATAGAGGTATGACTGCCGCGGCCGCTAAGATGTACCATGAATTAAATATTATAAGTACTTATGAAAGCGATGCCTACAAAATCTTAGCTAACGCTCAGCATAACCCTCTAGATCGTCAAGTTGTGTATCTTTACGAACAATGGCGTAAACAAAATTATGGAAATAGAAATGAACAGACTGTGTTACAAATTTTGAAAAGAAAACAAGACGAGTTAGGGAAATTGGGTATAGACTTGATCATACTGGAGAATCCTACTATTTGTGTAATTATTACACCAATAATGCAGCGAGTTTTCACTAAAGGATTAGCCGATGAAATAGTTTTTATAGATACCAGCGGATCATGTGATCAATCAAACACATGTGTGACATTTATTTTTGCAGCTTCTAATATTGGTGCGTTGCCTGTTGCAATAATTTTACACGCTAATCAGACAGAAGAACAATACAGTTTAGCGTTCAAAACTCTGAAAGAGTTCCTCGAAAATAAATTCAACAAATTATTTCAGCCAAGTGTAGCCATGACCGATGACAGCAGAGCTGAAAGAAATGCGTTGAAGTCAGTTTTACCTAACACCCGGCTTTTGCTTTGCATATTTCACGTTAATCAAGCAATATGGCGTTGGCTTTGGCAAACAGAGCATAATGTTAATAAAGATGACAAACAATACATAATGAAACTGTTCCGCAAAGTTATGTATTCAAATACTATAGCAGAGGCCGAATTAAATATGTCCATATTGAATGAAGATGTAAAAGTCGCGACAAATTATAAATTGCAAAATTATTTAACAAATATGTGGGCCCGACGAGAAGAATGGTGTTTGTCATATAGGCATGACATTATCAATAGAGGACATAACACAAACAACTTTTGCGAGGCGTCTATAAGAATTTTTAAAGATATTATATTGCAAAGATGTAAAGTTTTCAATATGTGTGCCCTGCTGGATTTTATCACTGACACGTTTGAAAATTACCACAAAAAAAGATTGTTGCAATTTGCTAATGGGAGAGAGCGAAAGTTAACAGTAAGCTACGAAAAATTTTGTCAGAAAAGTAAGTCGATAACTCAAATATCACCACTTGATGACACGTCTTACTTAATAAAAGAAAAAACAGACGTGTATGTAGTTGATTCTGAAATGGGAACGTGTGACTGTTTATCAGGGAAAGGTGGGCGCTACTGCAAGCATGTATGTGCTGTCGAACTAAAGTTTGGCATAACGATTACTACATCGTTAAATTTGACTGAAGATTGTCGCCAAGATTTGGCCAAATTGGCATTGGGAGACGAATATAACCCCTATTTCTTCCAAAATATAACACTGGATTCAAATGACGTGGAGACGGCTGAAAAAAGTCAAGGCAACTCACAGCAACAGTTTACGTTGCCGATTAATGAACCTGATAACACAGAAAATAATATTTCCACAGAGTCTTCAATTCAAGAAAATTATATGATTACTGTAGACGCAATTGAGTCTGAGTTTATTAGAATAATCAAAGTACTTAAAGAAGAACCAAATCCAGTAAACACTCAAATACTGAAAAAATATTCATCTGAACTATCTCGATTGCAGACTCCTTCCTCTATTGTTTCATACATGCATGATAAGAAAATACGACGTTCACGAAAAATAAAGGTCCAACCTACATCTATTTCGAGACGGCATCAAAAACAATTACCCAGCAGTGGTAGAATTCAGTCCGGCCGTCCTGTTAAAAAGAAACGTGCACACAATATCGCTGTGAACATAGACCAAAACGAACATTCCGCTAAATAGTTGTCTTGTCGGTGTTTTTTTTGTTATTTTTGTGCTGATAATAAATGTTTCATTAATTGTATTGTATGTAATATTTCATTGAAATCATATTGAGTTAATAATACAACCTACTGTCTACTATAGAATAATACCGTCGCTGATTCAACACGCTTTTGAAGACTCAAACAGTCTAAGAGTCAAGTCAAAAAAGTGTTCAGTTCAACTGCACACGATTTTGTTAAACCTTACCCAGCGCCATTTGATCGCAAAAGCGTGCTCAGTTGACGCGAATTGAACACGGGATCGTAGGATTCCGTAGTAAAACAAAAGCGTGTGGATTTCGCGAGACCGGTGTCGCCAGTTGAACACGGAAAGGGAAATACGCCCCGTCACCCGCCCCAATAAATACTTTACACAGCCCGTCGAACAATACAGTCTCCTCATGTTCAATATCACAATAACACCAGTAGCTCGGGCACCAACGGCCGCGCTCTGGACAGGTTTGGCAGTGGGTTTAAGAAAATTGAGTAATACATATACGATAATTAAGAATCACAATACAGTTAATACTTATGAATAGAACTTACTTAGGTCAAATATGATAAGCAGTGACGGACAGTGTGCATGGCTAGGCCAGTGGCGAGCGCGCCCAGCGCCGCGGGATGTGACAAGACTCAACTTCGTTACACCCTCGACACATATAAAATGTTCCTACGACTACAGGCGCGCCGCAGCTTACTAAAATGTATACATCTAAAAACCGGCGAGCTTTACCTGTATCAAACGATCATGTGCGCACGGTAATACAGCACAACATCGACAAAAGTAGAAAATTCTATAGTTATTATATCTTACTAGATCCCTACCCAATCGAATACGATAATACAGAAACATGGAATAGCATATAGTGCATGGTCTGGCAACTCGTATAAAGCACCATCATTTGGCCCTTATGTACCAAAACCAAGAAATTATGCAAGAAGTTCAGTAAAATACTACCACATATATTGTACGCTTACAGGAATGTCTAATAATAAAAGTTTCGATCTTACATCTATGTGACTTACATTCATAACTTTACTTATAGCAAAATTAAACTTACGTGTAGACTCATTCCCAGTACGCACTGCATCTTAATGTAGCAGCACAGCATTTCTTGCTAAAGCAAACTCAATATTGCTGTTAAACTTGCAGATCTGGTACAGTAAGATGCAATGCTAATGGTACAGCAATAAAAATATACACATTAGACTTGTCAAGTTCAATAATGTAGCGTAATTAAGTAATGAACCTTGGGGCATCAGATAAATCTATTGATACTGAGTCACCTAAGTACAATTTAAGGTAATATGTCAAGTAAATTCTCCTGACAAGTCGTGGGTACGTACTCCACTTAATTACGTTAGTGCTAGTGACGTACACTATCCGGCATGAGCTGCACACTGTCCGCCACGGCGCGGTACACGGTGAAATTTCAATACACGTATAAACTAGGAAGTGATGTCATTTAGCGTGGAAGCAACCTCAGTCTTGTCAATCTTCTGATGTGAACCAACAACGCTACGACGCCCTGCAGTTCCACTCTTCCGACTCTGGAAATAACATATTTAAGCAGTATTTACTATACAAAAAATATAAAACTAAAGAAATGTTGTTCAAATAAAACCGTTTAAAAATAATTAAAATGAACAACTTGATGCTAAAGACATGAAAATAGGAGCAAGATAAGAACCAAGTAGAGTAAACTTTATCTTGTTGGACTGACTAAACTTATCCTCTCTTATTCTCAGTGTCATAATGTCGTACAAACTAAGTAAATTGTTAATTAATGGTAGTTTGAAGTATGTTACTTTAAAATAACAAGATCACATGAAACTCACCATACAATCTTATGCTTCCGTGGGCTGCTCTATCGGGTCATTACGCGTCTCATCGACGGCGACGTTCTTTACTTTGATTTCAGCTACGTCTACTTCGGCACTCTTTTCAGTTTTAGGCTCCTCTTCCTCCTCCTTCACGGAGTCGCCATTTGCACCATTCACTTCTTTTCCGTTTTCCATTGACAGCCGAGCACTTAATTCAGCCTCTTTGCTGGCATCACCATTCTGATTTGCGACTGCAGCATCCCCATTGGTAGCTTTGCCGTTTACTTGCGCTTCGGTTTGTTCTTTTGGTTCACTTTCAGGCTTGGCCTCCTCATTCACTTTCTCAGATTCCTTAGGCTCCACCGGGGTCTCTGTTTCAACTTTAGTTTGTTCTGTGGGTGTCTCTATTTTTTCTGGCTCTTCTTTATTATCATCCACTTTCTTTTCTTCTGTGTCTACCTTTGTTTCAGCTACTTCTGTTTTAGCCTCAACTTCTGCTACTACAGATTTGCTTTCTTCTGTTTCGATTTTAGGCGTGCTACTATTCTCTTCGACATTGTTTTCCACTTTATCTACTACTGATTTCTTTTCTTTTTCTTCTGTCACCATAGTAGCTTCTTCTGTTTCTGTAGCCTTAGGACTACTACTATCTACATTTTCTTCGGTTGCTTTTTTAACTTCGGCTACTACTGCTGTTGGTTTATCCTCTGACATTTCAGTTATCGTGCTTTTATCTTCTGTTTTTGTTTCTTGCTTATCATTTTTATCAGTTGCAGCTTCTGGTTCAACTTTAGTTTCTGCAGACTTTTCTGAAGTGTTGGTGGTATCCTCTGCAGTTTTCTTTGTTTCCATTTCCATTTCAGAGTCCAATATTCTCTCAACTATATCATTTGAATCCGTGTTTTCAGTCTCCATCGTTTCTTCCGCAATTGTGTTTAGTAATGGTTTAATTGGTATGTTATCTAAATTAGTTACATCCTGTACCTTCGATAATATTTCGTCGCATTCTTTCTCCAATACTTCACCAACATTCTGTAGATCTTCCATGTCTTGGGTAGCCGGAGGTTCCTCGACAACGGGTTCGATGTCTTCAATCATTTCTGTAACTTCGTTCAACTCCTCTTTGTCATTGGTGACATCTTTGATTTCTGTAATAACAGAAGCTGGAGGAGTTTCTTCTGCAATAGGAGCATCCTTATCGCCATTTTTAAGTCGTTCAACTTCATTTTCTTTTGTCTCAGGAACAGCTTCTGAAGACTCTGTCTCCATTTTGTCAGTCTCTGTGTTTTCAGTCTTTTCACTACTCTCCTCAATGATGGGTTCAATGTCGCAAACAGGGGTTGCTTCTATTTCATTTGCATCTGTAATTTCTTCGACAGTGGTTACAACTTTTTCACTTGCTTGACACGCTTTGTCCTGCGTAGCGGCAGCAGGTTCATCAACTTCCATTTCGACGTCCATTTTTTCTGGTACATCAGCTGCTTTTGGTGCCTCTGGTTCGGCGACGGTGTTATCGGAATTCCCATTTACTGGCACAGATTCTGGTTTAGCCGACGTGTCACTTCCAGGTGTTTTCTCTTCAGTGGATACTTCAGGTTCTGTCGATGGTTTCACTTCAACAGGCGCCACGGCTTCAGTTGGCTCTTTTGATTCAGCAGTAACTTCTGTTTCAGAAGGTGTTTTAACATCTGCATCCATATCGGTTTTCAGAACTTTCGCAGGTTGTTCATCCTGTAATTACATAAATAAAATTAATTTAATTGCATTCCATTTTTAGCGAAAGAAACTAGTCAAACACAAAGAGCTATTTCACTCCCACATCATTAATTAAAAGCTTGGTCAGTCGAATTATACTTCCAGAATCAACTATTAATAGATACAAGAAAACAGCCCCATTTAAAATTTAGATTCTTTTATAATTCGCCAGTTACAAGATGTAAATCAAACTCGTATTTTAAACATGCTTATCCACTTATCCATATAATAACACAAAAAAATACATAGATACAGAAAGAAATTAATTTACAAAATTGGGTACTCAAAAAGTATTTAATTTAACTTGTAAATTCAATACTTATTTCGAACTCTCAAAAACGAATCATATCAATTCCTATGACTTACACCCGGTTTCTGAAAGGCTTGCCAACGCTAAAATTAACTAATCTCCACCTGTTAAATCTCTTGTCAAGTCATCTGATGGGTTGTTGATAATTCAGTCAACCAATCAGATGACTTGACAAGAGATTAAATTGATTTTAATATTGATTGGCCTTTCGGAAACCACCCGGTTTCCGAAAGTTAGTTTGTAATGTAGCCTCTTTTTATGTATCACAAAAAAAAACTTAAAAATTTGCTAGTAAAATTATATCGTGAAAAAACTGTTATTGTTAAATTATACTGAAAAAGAAGTATTTTATTTTTGACAAAAGTACCCAATTATACACAGACAGAGTGACCACACATAAGCATCACAATTTGTACCATCACCAAGCTAAATAATTCATTCAACCACTAAATAAACTTAAAATAGACTAAACATAATAGTTTAGTAAGGCTTTTAAATGAATTTATATGCAACATTACTATTTAGTATCTTAAAAAATATATATAAAGTAGGTGAAAATAATTTGAAACACGAAAGTCATTTTGCTTATTACTTTATTAATACCATAGATATTTAAGTTACTAAAACAATTTTTTTTATTTAATTTTAACATATATACAGCCTATGCCGGAAGCATATGAAAGCGTAATAGTTCCTGTGCACAGATGCAAACCACTACATAGTACAAAACAATCCCTTTCTCTGTACTGTTAATCTTTATAACTGATTTTGACGGATATTGATGTGTTTTTTTTAATAGAGAGACAAAATAAAGGTTTGTTATATTATTATTTAATAACATCCATTAAATAGCACAGAAATTTGGTAACAGCATTGCACGTTGCTAGTACCATAATATCATGATATATCAAGTTTGTTATAATGATAATGATGATGATAATGATAATTTGTTTTACTGTGATAAAGGAAATAATAAAATCAAAAAGATGAAGGTAAGTTTTTCTGTAGAAACAATTTGAATATAACAGTAAACAAAAGTGATCATAACTATGTACAGAAACTATTACTATTAACCAGAACCATCTACACACGTACTCACCTGCAAGGTAGAGCGGCGAGTCGCGTCTAGTCGTCTACACAGATAAATAACTACAGAGTGCATGCATTAGGCGTGCTATGGCAGGTATCGGGTATCATCGGAGGGGCACCTGGGCGTCGGGCTTGCGCTTGTTGGGGTTGGCGAGAGTGGCCAGGCTGTACAGCACTGGGAAGGCCGCCACAGCCTCAGGTGGAAGCGCCGCATTGCCTTCGCGACTCACCAGCGCGCAGTGCATGCCACACGCACGCGCGGCCTCCGCCTCTGATAATCAACATGGTGCTTCAATTTTAACAATGATCATGAATAACTAACTTTGAACCAGCGTTTTTTTTATCACAATCTTACTACAGTGGAAAGCTGACCATAATCTTAGGAGGGGTATAAAAATACATTACTGATATTTCAGTTATAAGCTGTGGAATATGTGAATGAGTGTTTCAGAATTGTGACGTAAAATCGGTGGTAAGTGCAAAAATTGTTTGACTATCAAGAAGCTCTTTGCAAACCTGCTGTAATCACACTACTACAATCAATAATTTATCTAATAAATACCTTTCACAATGTCGGTTAAGAAGAGAATTTCTTCTGGCTTGCAACCGATTTTCTCAGCAATGGCGGAGTAGCTAGAAGTCTCTTGTTTGGCACCGACGGCGGTGTCAAAATGTCCGTCGATATACTTCAACATGTCTCCAGACTGGGACTGGCCGAAGAGAAGTTTCTGTGCCTGGACTGATCCAGACGAGTAGATGTAGATCTTTTGGCCTTCCACCGAGCGCCATAAGTCCAGCGCGGGAGACACATCATCGTACACACTGGAATATTTAAGAGAAAAACACTCACATAACTGAAATAATAATATGATTTCATTTGACCATCTTGTTTCTTCAATTGTTTTATATTTTATGTATGCATTATTCATTACTAAATCTATCAAAGATTTCAAATTTTCATTTACAATTTCGAGAAGCTTCAAAACATTTACGAAAAACACAATTCAAACATAACAGCTAAAGCATCTGCTTTTCCACAACATTATGGTAAACACTTTTGTGTATTTAACTTTTTCACTTTAGCATTATTCATATTATTGAAAATTCAATCACTGTGGCATTTTCAATTGTATTCTTATTACTTATTATTATTCTACAATACCTGGACCAATTTTACCAATTCTTTTTATTTTTGTTATGTTTATTATTGTCAGGAGATGGTTTTTATGTAAGAAAATTTTAGAAAAGTACAAGGGAGAACTGAGAATGCTTTCGTCATTAGCAAGACAGTTGGAGATCCGTGCGAAGCAGAAACAGAAAGCTAGTATAATATAAAAATAACACCTTAAAAGATCGGAGTACCTCATTGTATTAAAAAACCAAGACTTAACTGATATATTTTCGTTACTCAATCATGGAAGGACAACTAAAGATCTAGATCACAAGTCTGAAGACATATAGTTCTTCGAGAGTCAAATGCGAATTATGTTTAAATTGCCTTTCATAGTGGGAAACTGCACCTAAGGTTGTGGCCAACTTGCTAATTGATAATTAAGAATAAAATCCAAAAATAAAGAAATAATGACTTACTGTCCCTTGATGTCTCCCTTGTCATACCCCTGTTTCCAGATAAGGCCTTGCAACTGCTTCAGCGGACCGGCTTTACGGTCGGAAGACATCTGCCATTTCACACTCTTCACTAGACCCTCAATCTGATCTTCCTTAGAGGCATCCTGAAACGCAAAATAGTAAAATTTTAGCTAGAATATTTGTACTTTGTCGCTCATATATTCTGCATTGCTTAGATCTGTGTCTCAGTAGATTACGCAGTCTTTATCTAGCAATAAAATGTAATTAAAGTAAAAGATCCCATTACAGATCAACAATCTGAAGTATACCATGATTTGCCAGAACTGTATTCGGAAAAAAATGTTGTTATTAGGGGCACAAAATTTATTATTTAGATGCACGGAAGCGTCATACCGACGAAGATTTTCGTGTGCTGTGTCACTAGCAAGACTTAGGGCTGACTTTTCAATAGTCAAACATTTTGACGCGACAGCATCATAAATTCATAATTAATCCCCACGTAACTTTAATCTAACCATTGAAAAATTAGCCCTAAATCGCTTAAACTTATGTAATCGTTAGAATAGCACTGTAAAAATCTATCTAGTATTCTCTCAAATCACAGTTTTGATAGCTGTAGGTTCTTTTTATTGGTTTTTTCTAAGATCGCTACAGGACTATTGCTTTGAATCAGACCTTGGACAAAAAGAAATAAATACGTATTTTTTATGGGATAGGGCTGCAATACTATAGCACAGACGCACAAACACTTTTCATACTCCAAAAACGACTAATTAGAATACTAGTTAACATAGACAACATAGAGAGCTGCAAACCCCATTTCCAAGAACTCAAACTTCTAACACTACCCTCTATATACATCCTGGAAATGTGTAAATTTGTTAGAAATAACGAAAAACTTTACACTACACGCGAAAACACACAGACTCACACCCTACGACACAAAAATAGACTAATCCTACCAGGTTCTAAGCTAAAAATACACTCCACAAGCACTTTAGTAATGGCAGGTAAAATATATAATAAATTACCAGATGACATTAAAAATGAACAAAAATGTAATATCTTGATAAATAAATTAAAAAAACTTTTAATAAATAAATGCTATTATAATGTACAGGAATATTTAAATGATAAATTTAATAAATAAAGTAAAAATAACACTGTAATCTATACCTAATAACAATTATAATGTATTTGTACTCAATTAGTTATAAGTTATATAAGCCTATCTACATAAAAATAATGAAAAATTGTAAACATATATTTATTATAGCCCTCCTCATAAAAAATTACTACTATTGTTATGCCCGACAGGGCCCACAATGCTCCTAAACTAATATAAGTATGTAAATCCTTATGTACCCTACCACCTAAGTTCACATTGTGGAATGCAATAAATATATTGAGTATTGAGTATTGAGTACTCGTTCCATTGATATCACCGGAAGGTAAGCAATCTGCTCAACCCATGGACACTCGCGACATCAGGATGGATAAGTGCCCAAGCCTTTTGAGAAGTTAAAGGATTGCAAGATTTAGAATGACAACCACAACGCTGTGGTTGTTCCACACCGGTATTTAGTAAAGCCGTGGTATCACTCCGGTCTAGCCAGCCTATTCGTGGCAAAGCATGTTTCTCCCACACTTTTTAATCGATACGATCAAAAAGTGTAGAAAGACACATGTGGGGCAGAAATGTTTGGTCCATAACGCAGTCCCGGTTTTGAGATACTAAAATAAAACCTGACCAGGATTCTTCAGTCCACCTTTTATATTTATCATCTAGGTAGAAACCTTTCCTCGTTCTTATAAAACACGCCAAGTATAATTACTTTCGTGTTTCTGTCTTTTCCTCAAAGGAAAATGCCGGAAGCGTGTACCCGTGCCACACCCAGAAGGGCAAAGATGGTCGTTAACTGAATTAAAATAATTCCCTAGTGGCAAAATATATTTTATATATCTTCTAAATGTTTCAAATAAATCTACATCAAGCAATTTGTATCACGAGAGGGTAGGCAGAAGTGTATTAAGTGTGTCAGGGGCGAGAATAAATGTCGCTCAAAAATAAAATATTTAAACTACACAACAAAGCTTGCCTTAAAACTATTCATCTAGTATATATTTACACTATCAACAAATCAAATCCATTTACTGTTGTAATATGTACCTATCAGTTTCTTGACCTTATGCTGATAAAAAAGGGGAAATGTCAATGCTACGCCAATTCCGAGACGTAATAAAATAATAAATTATTGTGATTATGAATAGCTTAAACGTAAACTCTTATAAGTTTTACATTATTCAATGAACTAAGTTAAGTGGGGAAACCATAGTGCATGAACACAGAACACACATGATTCATAATGACGCCACTTTCATTCAGAGTTTAGTTAGACGCGTTGATTGATATTTGTTATATAAAATTATAAGTGGAGACTGGACTGATATCTGTCTTATTTACTATACCTAGTTGTTAGGACACATGAGTATGAAGCAGGAACACGAAGTATCGATTTTTGGGTATCGAAAACCTGTTTTTAAGACTCCCGTGAAGAGAGAGTTCTTATTACCAGGCTGTACTGATCCCGATTTTTTCATGGAAACGAAGAGCCAAGAACAAAGGCAAAATGTATTAGTTCGTTAAGATAGACAATCGGTAGATTCTGGAGCGAAACCACGCTCATACAAATAGTACAAAAATAAAGAATTTAGAAACAAAAACTAAAAATACTACACCATTTTGTGATAATTAAGTTCTAGTAATGTGATAGATCGGCCAACGAGCAGACGTATTACTTGATGGTAAGCAATCGGCACTGCTAGTTGCTCATAAGGTACCTTAACCACCATCATCCATTTCAGGATTCAAAGTAAGAACATACCTCTCCTGGAATAGCAATCACTCCATCCACGCTATTCTCCTTGTCTTCCAGCGCCAGTTTCCTGAGCGCTGTCACCGCCTCCTTCACGTCTTCAGACTCCCATTGGTTGGTAAGAAAATCTTTTACATTTTCTTCTGCGTACGGAAAGAGCTTGTCCTGTAACAATGGTAAAAAGCACTTTACTGCCTAAACATTGATATTTATTATCTAACAAAATAACATTCGTGGGACGTGTATCGATTTATCAACGTGCAGATGTTTTCCAATTTAGGACACAGTTGACGGTAAATATCACGATTATGCAATATTTTACAAACGGCTCACTATTATTGTAATCATTTACCATCCCCATACATATTGAACTCATAGTAAAACAGTAACTACATTTTTACAATAAGAATATTTTCATGAAAGGTAATGCTCATTTTCATATAGGTTTTCATAACCTAACTATTTCTCATGGTTCATAGTATCAATCAATATTATTGTGTGTAAAAATTGAATTGATAACATAGCCTCGTGTGACCAGTCGGGTCTCATCGATTTTACTAAGATATTATTCGTATGTCTTTTTACATAATTCGTTATAAGACACATGTTATACATAGTTACAAAGCTGTTTGGACATAACTTACAATTCCCGATTTAATTTAGCTTTAATCTTGCTATTCGACACTATTAAATGATGACTGTCGAATACGCATCACCTATTTAACTATTTATACAAATTCCTGCTGCGAATACTTCCGCAGAAGCGAAAGAACTGTGATATATGAGGAAAAAGCGAAATTAACCACGCAAATATATTTTGGGCAACAAATAATATTCAAATTTAAATGAGTATTCTATCAACAGACAAACGAATTGGCCTCACGAGCACCATAATTCAAGTTTTCCGCGATAAAATTTCATATCCCATGACAAAAACCAACATTTCTAAAGAAGTAACGTAAGTAATTTAACAAACACACGCTGTCTGTCTGCATAATATTAGCATCGGTGCATATTTAGAGATAGGTAGGTACACATACGATTTTGATAGGGGTGTAAGTTTAAAGCACCCTCAGTCCTCCCGTAGTTAAGTCTGGCGCACTCGGGACCTAGGCGACTGCATATTGACTGGCGAATCTCTAAACGTAACCATATTACGTGATATTTAATGTGTTCAACAGAAGAACAAATATTTTTCAGTTTAGAAAGTAAATATGCCAACCGTAACCTTTGATGAAAATTGTGGTTATAATCAGAGCCTAGATTGATGATAATAAATATAATGCCGAAAATAATATTTAATTACCTTATTGTTTGGTTGTTTGCAGTTTCGAAGGATTACAAATACAAGTAGATAGGTATATTAAATATCTAGCTATAAGACCTGCGTTACTGATAATGAAGAACACGAAAAAAATATGAAGACAGCTTACTGTTGCGAGCATAATAAAATGTTGTGTCATTACATACCTATTTAATTCATATGGATCATGGCAATGGCGCCACAATCTACATTACCTAGTACAAACAGGCCTTCGGTTTTATTTTAATGTGCTACTTCAAGCTGGTGCCATAACCTAGTCCCAATTTCTGCTCAAAAGCCTTCTAACAGTCACATTTCAAGAGATGAAACAACCTTTGAAGTTTTAAAGGTCTTGTTATTTCTGTACTTTGTGGAATATGACGGCACTCCATGTTCTGCGTATAAAAGATGCTGTCAAGAATAATAATGTTAAAACAATCTTTGTTGCTTTTCGGTTTTACTAAGTTACTTTGGTACCGCCCACCGTGAGTATCAGAATCAATACGAATAAGACCTTTTACCTCGTCTCTCATCAGCGAAAACTGCTGAGATATGTCTCTTAAGACAGTACTTGTTATAATCTCTACGCTCTGTAGGCGGACTTGAGTTGAGTTGGCGACAGACGGATCATAGCAGAGTAAATTAACTACGTCAAGTGTTTTCCCTCCATTACGGAATTTAGTTTTGTGAAATAATTGGCCTATCAATGAAACCAACAAAGACTTGTATTACAGTCACATGTTAATGACCAATCATAACTTCGAAGTAGGTAGCCTTTGAGGAGTTTGAGGGAAGAAATCATAGGGGTTGATGCGAGTGTCAGAAGTAAGTTGGGTGGGATCAGTATTTGACCGATACAATTTGCTTAACGTTTGAATTATATATGTAATTCAAACGTTAAGCAAACTGAAGCATTCTTTTTTTTATGTAATAGGTCGGCAAACGAGCAGACGGATTACCTGATGGTAAGCAATCAGCGCCGCCCATGGACACCCGCAACGGAGGAGTTACGAGTGGGTTGCCGACCTTTTAGGGATTAGGGATTTGGAGATTTAGGAACTGGGAAGGGATTAGGGAAGGCGAAGGATTGGGCCTCCGGTAACCTCACTCACACGGCGAAACACAACACTGTGGTTGTTTCACGCCGGTTTTCGGTGAGGCCGTGGTATCACTCCGGTCGAGCCGACCTATTCGTGCCGAAGCATGGCTCTCCCACACTTAAAGCATATTCATGTAAGCACCAATTTTCTAAAAGGTCCTTTCATCGTGCGAATCGAATAAGAGTAATGAGACTTATCGTAATGTGCTAAAACTTTCAGGATAAGAAATTCCTTTACAGCCATTTAAGACTTTTTTTTAAGTATTTTAAAGTAATTTAGTAGCAATTGTGAAAGTTTGCAGCATTCCCAATTAGGCAACTACCCACATACCGATTACGAATAACCGTACTCGACCACAGACTAATGTTTACATGTTTACTGGTAGTCTTGATAGACATTTCTATTGAAAAAATAACCACAATGGTTTAAATTTTGCATAACACGATGCCCTGGTGAAACTGCATCGTCTACGATGCGGCAAGTCCATGGGTGAACGAACTGCGCGACTTGCCGCCGGTGTCCAAACCGGATAGCGAGCCTACCTAGCCGAGCGACCCAGCCCGCGGCACCCGCGGTAGGGACGCAGCACAGATAATACCCAGTATTGCATTGTTATACAAAGACATGCTCCAATTATTCCACAGACGACACAAGCTAACTTCTTCAAATATCTTAGGAAAAAAAACTGTCGACTTAGATCAAAATGTAAGATACCTACTCTATCCTACAAGGAGGAAAGTTTGAAAAGACTTTAACTTTGAAAACGTACTAGTAAAAACCCATAGTTATACAAAAAAACAATCTTTAGAAATGGCCAATAAAAAAACAGTAAAAAAACTCGTATTGTAAACCCAAATGAATGAAAACCACATGTCATGAATCAGCTGTAATCAGCTGATAAGTTAATGTGCGCGACCGATGGGCGATTGTAGCAGCCTAGCAAATAACATTCTAATCAAAGTAAAATGAAATTAATTTAAAAAAAAATACAATTTTGAAAGAAAAGTTGTTTATTTATTTCGAACCTGTTAACTCACGTTAATGTAGGTAACAACCCTATTTAATGCACGTAAAAGTTAACCTCATTTTGTACGAAGAAAAGGCGGAGATTAAGATTAGCATTCAGGTAACCATGTAACCAACCTACATACCAAGACACCAAGATATAAATAAAATATATACACAGTCTACATTTTATACGAGTTCCTGTCTACAATTTTATAAAATATAAAAAATATCCCTATAAGTACATTCTTGGCTTTCCCTATAGTATGCTATCCCTGTTATTGAAATAATCAAGAACTTACTAAAGAGACAGTAATAATAGTAGGTAAACAAAATAATTAATACCAATAAACTCGAGTTTAAGTAGGTATTCTAAAGACGAAAATCGTAATTTCGGAACCATGAAACCACCAGCCACCAAGGTAACGCTGCCCAATGAAACACCACTAGTATTTTTTTTGTCTCACTCGCAGGTCCATATTCTTATCCTAAGTGCGACAAGGCCAGCCTATGTGGGCTCAACGCTATTGAAAGAGGACAGTTAATTGTTCCACATTTTTTTACCAGCCAGCTGCTCGAAACAGCTGTTCATGCCGGTAGGTGTGCAGCACGCAACACGAATAAATTGAAGTACTCTCCCTTAGCAAAAATGGAAGTTAAAATCAGTTATTACAGATAACATTCAGCCTTAGAGATGAAAAGAAAGCATATCTATAGAACTATTACATCTCTTTCGGTTAAATAAATCAATAAATGTATATACCTACAAAATAAGACGAATGCCATATAGAAAAAATTATGAAAGAAATATCATAGTTACTACCATAAATACGTTAGGCAACACGTGGATAATTCAGACAATGAAAGGAACATGAAAAGGGGTACCATTTTGATTTCGTCCTCCATGTTGCGAATCTGAAATTGCGACCATTTTGCATGTTGGATCATGTGCTTTCATGTTGGCATAAATTGCTCTGGATAAACTAATATTAATCGAACAATTACACAAAAACACATGTAAAGACAAAACACCGGCCGGTCAATCATTAGACCTACCTTAACAAAGCTGATCGATGTTGTGGTTCCTTCAATATCCAACAAAAGAACTCGGCATTTCTTGACGATGTCGCTGATATCATTATTTCCACTCGCCATTTCAATACTTTATCTGTAGTTTTATTCGGAGCACTTTTCTGATTTATTTGACTAGACTAATATAACTAAATTATAATAAAAACAGTACTCCGGCACAGAAAAAAAGCATTGATTGAGCCGGTCGCGAGCGAACGAAACGCCACACAGAGCACCGGAGAAAACGCGACCAGCTGACAGAGATAGCCGGCGTATTGAGGTTGCTGATTGGTTAAAGAGTGAGAAAGATACACTTGCCGAGCGAGAGAAGAAGCGAGATGCCCAACGGAAGGATATGGTTGATATCAATGCTTCCAACATAATAAAACTATATTTTATTACCAGAATTTCGCAAATATTTTGCCAGGTTTAAAAATTAAAGTCATCAATTAAAATAAATCGCTGAATGAAAATGAAATATTCTGATGCATTCGGTGCATTCGTCAGAAGCGGGTGCACTTCTTGAAGTTGTGTATAAAACAAAAAGTGTAGAACGTTTTTAAACTAAACTTTTTGTAATATTATATTAATTTTCAAATTCACACAGGCAGAAATTTGTCGTTTAGCAAAATCGTAATTAATTGTAGTGTTTATTATTTTACTTTATTTGATATTTTGCTACTCCGATAGAAAGTAAATCATTTGAGACAGAGAATCAATCATTTAAGTCACTTTAAAACAGATTCAATTCTCGGATCGTTTAAAAACTAGTGTATCCTCCTGTACCAGTACTAAAGTGGAGGTTTAATAGAAAAACAATACGTGACTATTTCATTATTAACCTATCCAATTAAATATTGTAATTAGAATCCATTAAGTGCGGTGAGCTATAAATTATGTTAACACTTCCTACTAACTATGCTTTACGAGTTACGTCGCGTCGCAGTTGTAAAATTTTGAGTAAATATCAAATGGCTTTTCCCTTGAGCTTGCGCGAGAGAGGTATGCACAGTAAAGATGTAAAGTTTAATGTAAAGTAAAGATGTAAAGTTTATAAAATTAATATAATGCCGTTTTTTTTACTTGCTTTAAACTAGTGCTTGACTTCGATCCCACTGATGGTAAGCAGTGATGCTTAAGAATAGATAAGAAAATCTTATTGATACGAGTAATTTTGTTGCAGCTAGAAAATTCTTTAAGTAGGTACATATTTTGAAACACAACAACATACCTATTATTTAAAATCGGCACATTTTGGCACTAATTTCTTTACAGGATAGGGTAACGCTCACACTAGTTAAGTTAACGAACATATTTTTTAAGCTAGACATCAAAGAGCATAGTTACTATAGAGGAACTGTAGTTGCCCAGACAGAATTGCGGATGCAAGCGATGATAATTTTCCTAAAAAGAACTGTCTGAAATCGGACACAGCTACAGCATTTTTGAATGGAGAGCCATGCTTTGGAAATCGGCTGGCTCGACCGGGGTGAGACTACGGCCTCACGGGAAACCGGCGTGAAGCAACACTTATCTATAAGTGAGGTTATCGAAGGTCCAACCCTTCCATGTCCTCCCCCTCCTCATCCTCAATTCAGAAATACCTATCCTTAAATCGCTTATAACCCACGAAAGGCCGGCAAGGCAATTGTAGTACCTACCTAACTCTGGTATTACGGGTATCCATGGGTAGCTCTGATTGCTTAGCATCAGGTAATTCCTCAGCTCGTTTACCAACTTTCTACAGAATATACTATCTATTCAACGGTGATAATATTGTTCTCCTTGGCATCATATACTTACCAACAATGAATATTGAGTTAAAGAGGTATGAAATATAGACTCAGAGAAAACGAAAATAAGACAAGTATATAATGGCAACAAAGTCCTTTTTTTTTGTGCGGGGAAAATCATCAAATGACTTCTCCCGCCCAGGGCCGGGCGGGAGGGAGTGTCAGACTCTTACTGTCTAAAAACCCCCCTGTTCCTTCTCCTGCTCTGGGCCGAGGTCGCGGTGCCTCATTGCGCTTACCCCGCAACCCCGGCTGCCCTTAAGGGCCCCGTCTGTGGTGGTCTATGGGCTTGGAGGCGCGCGCGGAACGCTACGCGCCGTAATGGCAGCAAAGTCCTGCAGTGAAGAAATTACAACACTACTTGTTCACACAAACAGAAACAATAATTAAATTAAAATTTATAAACTTTATTTACTATTTTAGACTTAATATACTAGTATGTCATATTTATTAATTACTTTACAGTCACTCTTCTTAAATAAAATTCTATAAATTAGGCACCTTTTTACATTGTTTTACGGGTAATAAAATGACCGCGATTCACAAAAGCACCTTCAGTCTTGAACACAGTTGTTAAATAAAATAAGATAAAAATTATGATACATTTCGAGCCCAAAAAACTAGAAATATGTCATAATTATTCGAACAATCCAGAGTAAAATATTCCTAATAGACAATTTAAATGTACAGATTTACGATTATAGTTAATTTAACCGATCTCTTTGCAAGATATTTGACCACAGTTCTATTGAATTTCAGGCAAATTTAGTTCGATCTGGTTATTAACATCAGTCTATAGCTTTAAATGATCTAATAGACTACTCTTGGTATGAACAGTTTTCTCTTCAATTTTCATTTTCTTCATCAACTTCGGAGTGCCTTGGGGCGCGTCAGCTTTTCTTTTTATTGTCACCTGGAAACGATAAGCATAGTATAATAATCTTTTAATTTTGTATAGTAACTATCGTGAGTATCGTAATTCGTAAGACAGGTACTAAATTTATAGAAAACGAGCAGCTCGGCCCTATTTCGCACGGGTGTCATCATCTCGCTTACGATGAAACTCTAAACTCTAACTCTCCCCTCTACTATAAACTCTAAACTCTCCCCTCTACTATTCTAAAATTTTCTTTCATAAGAACCTTCTCCTGACAATAACACACATAACAAAAAAAGAATCAGTAGAATTGGTCCAGGCCTTATTGAGTTATGGGCTTACCAATATATTTTGCGATTCATTTTATACATATAGATAACGACCTAATCAAATTAGAAAATCTTAACTACTAGTAGAGCTCAGTCACTGAGAAATTTAGGGCTCGTGACGAACGTGACTTGATTTTCGTAAAATTTCATTTTCTATCTTATCATTAGAACCCACTTTTCGCAACTTTGGCTACAAGTCCCATGTAATGCTAGACGAGTACATTGTGCTAGAGTTTTATACACAATTCTACACTTCGTGCTTGTATTACGAATTTTTGAGAATCTCAAAATCCCTTTGGGTTTCAACTACAGAGGGTTCTCATCAGTTGTTTGCTCGTAAGTTGTACTTGCAACAAATTGAACAAAGGAGACAATCAGATATTACATAGGTAATTGTTCCAACTAATCTTCAAGAGTATGAATTTTTGCAGACATTTATAATTCGAGGATAGGGTAGACCAACATTTTCTCCGTGAGCAAAGCAGTAAGTAACAGCTAGTATACCATAGACATATTACTTTCTTACACACCTTTGGTACATCATCTTCGTCTGGTGTAATGGAAGTAAAGACAAAGTTCCGCTTATGTGTTGCCAGTGATCCTATTTTTGGCGAGTCGTCATCAGTAGCTAAAGGTATTGCCAGCGCTGCCAATCGCGCGAGAGCTCCTTGGCCACGTGTCAGTAATGATCCGTGGTAATTTTGCTGAAATAAAATATAATGATGAGAACAAGACAATAAAGAAAACTATCAAAAAATAAACCACAAATGAAGAAACATTCATATTAGTTAATGAAATGACAATTTTCAAAGAAACAAAATATCATTATTTTATTTTTTATGTTCGTGTGAAAAACCATGCTTTGGCACGAATGGGACCGGTTCGACCGAAGTGATACCACGGCTTGACTACACTATACGAATGTATTGTTTTCGTCATATGAGTGAGGTTACGATATACCCAATTCTCTCCCTTCCTCTAACCCCAATGCCCAAATATTCAATCTTCAAATGCATTGCTCCAAAGGCACTAGTAACTCCTCTGGTGTTGCACGTGTCCAGGGGTAACGTCAAATGCTTACCACGTAGTGGACAAATATAGTCGATTGCCGCCAATTCATATAAAAAAATAGTACTTATATATCTTACCTGGAAGATTGAATACGACTTCTTTGGGCTAGGTATATCTTTAGCAGTCTTCTTTTCTTGAACGACGGAGATTTCGGTAGATTCAGTTTTCGTTTGATTCACTTCTTGAAGGAGAGTAGACATTGATTTCGACAAAAGATTGGCTTTAATAATTGTTGTTCTATTCACACTGACGTTGAGGGAGCTTTCCTCTTCTTGTTGTTGCTGAGAAATAAGTAATTAAACTTAAATTTATGTATTTAATTTAGTAAGGGGTTTGTTTAGTAGATTAACATCATCATAGGGTTATTAGATACTTTTCAGAAGTTATATTATCGACCCAAAACTAGAGACATCAACTCAACACAGCCTAAGACAGGGCTTAATCGTGAAATCGTGAATCAAAACTGACGTAATGTTACCTGATTCAAATTTTCTTTCATAAAATCATTTAAATTATTTTTTTCATACAGTTTGTAAATATTTTTAAAATGCATTTTCACAAAACAATTATTGAAGAAGTATACTAACCATTTGCCTCAGAAATACTTCACGTTCATGCCTCTGTTTCCTCCATTGCTCCTCCGATTCGAACTCTTCTTCTTGCGTGTCAGCAAATTCATCGGGTACTGTGCCAGCCTCACCATCATCACCTGAAATTTAATACATAAATTTTAATATCAAATTTTACAATTCCATATTCAAAACCGAAATTCTATGACGAAATAGTATAAAACGAAGTCGCTATATCTGTCCATACATCCCTATGTATGCTCAGATCTTTAAAATTACGGAACGTATTTTGATGCGATTTTTTTAATAGATAGAGTGATAGTGTATAAGACATTGAAGCAGTAGTCAGCATTGTCCCGCGCGATACCGGGGCGAGCTATAAGCTCAATAGCTTGTTTTTTTATGTGATGCTCGACAAGATACTTACAGACTTATCGCCCATTGGAGTGGGCTAACAAAGGAGTTTCAAATGAACTACCGACGTTTTTATAGATAATTTCCTACCTGCATTCCTCCACCTGAACTTGCGCTGTCGATGACCGTCGCCTAAATCACCGTCTTCGAACAACAACTCCTGTATCAATCTCACTTCTCTCTTATCTTGGTCTAGCACGTCACGCCTGTAAGGAGATTATGAATATGAGTGTTAAATATTAAATATATTGGGTGCCGGTAGATTTTGTTATCTGTACTATAACATCCGTGTAAAAGGTGGTGTGATAATTATCAATCAAATAGACAGCCACACAGTTTCTCCCGCTGCTCAGCTTCTAAAGACATAGTTCTTCGTAGGGTGAAGTTATAGCCTTTATCTTGCTTTGGTAAATGGATTATCCAAGACAAAAATTATATTTGAAAATTGAACCAGTGGTTCCTGAGATCAGCTCGAGATTGAAATGTTTCAAACAAACTAAATGTTCTGCTTGAAAATAAATAATGATTATCAACCAATATTATATCAATTTCATTCCTGAACATGTAGGCAAAAACGTAATCTAAAACACGAGAGAAAACATCAAATCCTTTATACTTAATTATTATAATAGAATAATTACATACTTATTTATACTTACATGTGTATCTGTCCCAGTTCTTTCCGAAGTTTTCCCTGGTGGAAGACCTCGTCATCTCCTTCCTCTCTCTCCATTCTGTCCAGGCCTTTCTCATCCTCATCGCCAGACCCCACCCACTCATCCTCACTCGTCAGTTCAGCCTCTTGCTCGAAGAAATCCGTCACTTTACGTTTCTTTTTCGGTTTGTCTAGTTTCACTTCTATCTGGAAATATGGTAAATACAAAACAAATTTAAATATATTCATAATACAAATAGTTAAATTAATCGTACTAAGAATATTATATCAAATGTAGCCAAGTCTCAATGTAAAATGATTGCTGAAATAGAATATTCAGACATATTTAAACAGTCTAACAACCGGTTTCTGAAAGGCTTGTCAACACTAAAATTAACTAATATCTCTTGTCATCTGATTGGTTGTTGATAATTCAGTCAACCAATCAGATGACTTTACAAGAAATTTAATTGATTTTAACATTGATCGGCCTTTCGGAAACCGGGGTAAGGCTCTACTCATCATTAATTTAATTATCTAATCATCAAAAAAGTGGTCTTGTCCGTCTAGTAATAGATGATACGGCGGTTTTTCTGTCACTCCTAACTTGGTTAGACACAATATAATGGCCATCAAGTCGAGAGCGCAAGTCAGAGTTGGTTTTGGGCTATAAAAATAATAATAGGTTTTATATTTGACGCCATGCATAGTTGCGATAACTGGGCCGCCGTGCAATGTGCCGTGGATTCCATTCCCGCACAGAACAAATATGAAAATTGTTATTTTGTAAACGCCCTCACGAGCAATGACGTATTATATATAGACACGTCATGAACCAACATCGCGGCGCCGCAAAAACGGCGAAAATACTAGATAACTACTTCTACGAGTAAAGAAAGGGAAAGAAAATATGACATCGTATAGTGGAATGCCTTTGCTAGAGGGAGATAAATATACATCTTCAGTTACATCGGCACGTGACTATACCTTCATGCGCCGGCCGCCATAAGATGGCGGGCGCCGGCGTCGAAAAAATAAAATAAAAATAGGTTGTTTGGTGAACTTAAGCATGAAATGACACGTTTTTGTCTTTAACTTTTGGAGTATAATTTGTACATCGTCTGAACACACACGACGGCATTCTTTATGTTTCGCACAGGTTTACACACACGATATAAATTAAAAACAAACGTAGCGTCGCGCGGCAGGTTGGTGCGTAACTAAGCGCGATGTTGTCAATTGCCTTCATTTCATGTTGTCATTTTAGAGCGCGGACAACGTATCTATAGTTTTATACATCATTGCTCACGAGATAGAAAAAATCTTCGTGAGGGCCAACAACAAAAAAATAATACAAGAAAAAAGTAATTACCTCATTTTCTTCAGAATCATACTCCACTAATCTCTCATTATCTTCTTCTAAGTCTGATACATATTCATCTTCCATTTGATTCTCGTCATCTTCTTCTTCGTCATCTAGAAAGAAATTGTAAGTGTCAACTTTTAGAATCTTTGAGAAGTGTGAGTTTTGCGAATCTCCTTTCGTTACCTCCTATTCAGAATATAAGACTAATGAGGAGTAAAATAATCAGATTATTTAGCCACCACTGAAAAATGGCAAAGAAAATATCGTGAGGAATTCTGAGCATATAGTTTCATATTTCCGTGAACAAGTTTGGTGATTAATACTCAAGCCTTATTCATGTGAGACAAGGCTATTGGTAAACTTTCCAAAGACTAAAGTTATGTTAAGTATTTCATTTATGGCATTGATAAGTAAATAAATACAATCGATTGTGTACAACACATACCTGAGATTTGTAGTGCCCTCTTTTCTGGCCGTTTCTTTTTTAATTTCTTTTTCTTTACTTGTTCACTGTCTACATTAGCTTCATCATCGTCAGAATCTATTACAAACCTCTTTTTCATTTGAGTGCTTTCTAGAACTTTCTCACTATCTTTCTTCTGTGTACCTCCAGTGAAGAATTTGTTTTCTTTCGGTTTGTCAAAGTCAGGGTCGTGTAGCTCATCAAGAATGGACTTGAGGTTACCATCAGGTTCATTTGGTTTACTGGAACCTTCTTTTAATTTATTCACTGTGTCTTTAATAGGGAATTCTTTTTCAATTCCTATTTCATTGTCATCTTTATTTACTACTTCATTTACAGTTTTATCAAGTTGAGCATCGTCCATTTTATCTTCAGATAGTTGTTGTGTGAACTCATCCACATATTGATTTTCCTCAGCTTGTGTTACAAATTCATTGTCATAGAACTTGCCCGTACAGAGTGCTAATATATCTTCGCCAAGAGCTTGTGATTGTGATGATTGGGTTATTGGGAGCTGTGAGCCTTCAACTATACCATCAATACTTGGCTGAAAATTAAAAAAGATGGATGTGACAAAGTTGAAATAACAATTTGTTTATGCCTATATATATTATAAGAGTGTATGATTAGATATTTAAATCAAACATGGGGCTAGGCTAAGAAGTGTTGAAGTATTCTGTTGGCAAGTCTTTCTGAACTAAATTTAAAATAACTACTTACATCATGATAAGGCTGCGACAGACACAAAATATTCAATTTGCTAGGAGATTGTAGTTCCACACCCATATTTAATTTACTAGGTGATTGTAATACAGTTGTTGTAGTCTCTAAGATGGAAAAAGTCTGGGTGCATAGAACATCATCACTTGCACTGTTCCTGTCCTTCGCCTGGTCAATAACTGAGCTCTCTTGACTTGTGAAAAGATCATCTGATACAGACTGATGTCTCTGTGCTAGTTGAATGACGTCATCTAAAACAGTCAATAAAATTTAAGAAACGGGTGTTTAAAATAGCATTTTTGCTAAGGTATTTAGATTTTTTCTTAAATTGTTAAATCCAACATACAAAACACGGGACATAGAATATTTAACTGAGACAAAAATACCTTGTGATGAACTTGCAGCTTCAATTGGAGTTTCACTCATATCAGCATCCTTTGTTTCTACAGCTGCATCACAATCATTCGTTTTAGCTTCCGCAACTTTATCACTGTCAGCAACCAGTTCTCCTGTTTCTTTTACTTTTACTTCCAAGTCTTCATCATCGGAATCCTCAAATGCCTTTAATATCCTTCCTTTCCTAGGTTTAGTTGTTTCTTCTTCTTCTTCAGATTCTGAGGATTCTTCTTCACTGGATTCCTCATCTCCATCATCCTCTTGTTCCGCACCCTCGTCATCAACTTCATCATCTTTGGCTATACCTTCATCTTCTTCGTCACAATCTGATTCCTCAGCTTCCTCATCAACCATTGGGTTATGTTTCCTAGGTTTATCTTTAATTTCAATGTCATTTTCTTCTAATTCTTCCTCTTCACTTTCTGAACTTTCGCCTTCTTTCTCTGCCTCAGTCTTTTCTAATTTCTCTTCAATTTTCTCAATGCTATCTTCGGCATCAGCATCATCTAAGATGGTGTCCATTTCCATATGCTGTTGTTTCTCCTCTTCTAAACGTTTGGCCCATTCAAGGGACCTCTGTTCTGCAATTTGTTCTTCAAGCTCTTGTTTCAATTTCAAATGTTGAGCACCTGGTTTTAACCTGGAATCATAAAAAAATCAGTATAAATATTACATTACAGTACAAAATTTTCAAAATAATTTCATTTTTTAATGTTCAATAAATTTTGCTATATCTGAAAAAAGTATTCTGCATGTCTTTTTTTCTTCAAAATATTAAGATTGAACTAACCTCTTTTCCTTCTCCCTTTCAAGTTCTTCAGGAGTTTTTAACTTTGCAAAGTATGTAAATCTCTCTTTTAGGAGTTCAACACCTGTCTTTTTAGACATAACAGAACCACCATCCAAGTCGATAACCATGCCAGGAGCCCCAGTCAGTTTAGGCTTCGCATTAAAATTGGGAGGATCTCTTACAAGCATGGGAGAATTAATATTGTCATCATCTGAAACAAACCAAAACAGAAAATAAGAAGTTATTTACATTTAGTAAAAATAAATAGTTGATGACAGTGAATCCACTACCTTTTCATTAGTGAACCTATCCAGTTACTGAAAGACATAGAAATAAAAAAAAAATTTAGTACCTCTCAAAATTTCTGCATTTTCAATAAGTTTGTCAATATCTTCCATATTAACATCATCATCAGAAAAGAAATCTTCCACTTTATTATTTTCTTCAACTTCCTGAACATTATCATTTTCCTCAGTAACAACATTACTGGCTTCAGGCTGTTTTGTATGTTCTTCAATGTGCTCTGTATTGTTTTCGGTGAAGTGCAAAGATATCAATTGACTCTCTTCTTCAGTATTCCCTTTGGTTTGAAGATCAGCATTCCTATCCTTTTCTTCATTATTTTTAACTACATCTTGATCAGTCATCTCTTCGTTAGTAATTTCTGTACCATCTTTATCATCCATTTCAAGTTGTTCCTCTTCTATAGAATCATTGTAAACTAATTTAAAATCTGTGTTAGAATCATCTTTCACAGAATTCTCTTGTTCACCATTTGGTTCAGTTGTGTTTTCATTATCATTGTCATTATTTACAGCAATTTCTTTTTCATTAGGTAATAAATCTTCTTCAGGAGAAATGTTGTTAGTTTGTTCTGCTACTTTTTCAGTATCTACATCATCAGTCATGACAGCAGGCAATTCAATGATGGTTTCTGCATTTACAGGCGATACAGTTGTATTGTCACATTTTTCACCAGGCGTTTCATCAGTGTTATCAGATGGTTTTTCTATTTCTTGATCTGTAGTCTCATTTTTATCTTCAGTTTCAGCAGTTTCTTCGTCAGATTCACTTTTACATAATTCCATCATTTCTTTTTGTCTCTGTTCTAATAGAGATCTAAAAGAGAGGCAAACATACCATTTAAGACCATCCATTGAAAGGGAGGAAAAGTTTACTGAAAGAGCAGCTTAGGGTTTTAGAAGATTATATTGATAATCAATAACAACTTAAAATAAATAGCAAATAATCAAATATCAATTTATCCAATCACACAATCCTCATAAAGGGATAAACACATGGAGATTTTTATTATTAGAAACCAGTACTTACGCATAATGCTTTAACTGCTCTTCATTCATTTTAATAGGTAAAGCTTTTCCATCAGATGTTACTGCCGGCTTCCTTCTGGACATAATATCTTTAAGAGACAGTGCTTTAGGCCTGTGGTATGGTAATGACACTGCCTTCTCCCTGAGCATGCGATTTGATTCACTTTTAATTAACTGCATGTTCTCCATTGCTTGTTTAGCCGACATCTGAAAATAAATGGTTATACAATAGTCTACGGAGAAAATAATAATATATAGATTTGAAATGCAACCTATACATTATTGTGCAATGCTCAATAAAGATTAAATAATAAAAAAGCTTAACAACAAAATTTATCTAGGACAAAATAACAGTTGCATGCTTAACAAGTGTCCTATTTACTGTACAGACAAGCAGAAGTTAAATGATAGTCTTTAATGTGTTTCCGCTGCATATCACACAACTATATGTATACCAAGAGACTGTGAAAGTGAGGCTGAGATTTTACCAGCTATAAAGTATAAATTATAAGGCTTTATGGACACACACACACAGCACTCAAGATATCTGCACTTAGGTAAAAGAAAGTGTTGTTCACTAATATCTTTATAGATATATAAAATCTTTATAGATATATAAATAAAGATATTAGTGAACAACACTTTTTTCTGCTGATAACAAATTTGTTTTGCGGTTTTGTACTTACTCTTACTGGCTTGGGTTCAATTAATTTTGTAGATTTCTGTTTCCTTGGCTTTTGCTTTGATTTCTCTTTTGTTTGACTTTCTTCATCTGAAGTATCCGGGTCACAAATAGAAGAAACAGTTGCCATACTCTTTTTAATTTTCTGAAAATGTTGAAACAAATTAATTCATAAATTCATGAGTCAGGAAGACTCAATTGAAAATTTACATTTGTACTAATAATTATGATTTGTTACTTACAGCTGATCCAGGTTATATTAATGACTTAAAAGATATTTAGTTTAATTATGGGTGAGTTGTAACACAAATGTTCTTTTTCAAGGAATCATTACTTGGGAGTTATAGCAACTAACTAAATCAATAATTAAATATATACCTATGCAAGACTTACCTGTTTTATTTTGGAAATGGACGACATTTCCTGGTCAGAATTTTCTGATACGTCATTAAGACTGCCTTCTGAGTCATTATCACTCTTTTCTTGAAGTGTATGCTTCTCTCTGGAATTTAACAGACTTTTAAACTTATCTTTCAACTTGTTCCTCTTATTTTTCATCCTAATTTGTTGACCCTCATTCTTTATACTTTCATGCTTGTTTGATACATCAGAATCAGACGAACTATCCATCTGAATCCTAGATTTGATTTTACCACTTTTAATAGGAACAGTAGTCGTTTCTGATTCACTCCCACTCTCACTGGGTAGGTTATCATCTTGAATGTTTACTTCTACGTTTTCTTTCTCTGTGTCACTGTCAGAGAACTGTATTCTTTTCTTCGTTCTTTGTATAGGAGCACTTTCATCATCACTTGAGTTTAAGCTGTTCAGAGAGGTCTTAGCTACACCAGGTGACTCCATGTCAGAACAATTGCAGCGAGATATCTTCCCTTTTGTTGAGCCCGGCTAAGTGAAATTTAAATCAAATAAAAATGTATTTAAAAGTTCACCACTGAAGTTATTTCACGCAGTATGTAAAACATTTTAGAAATAAATCCGATTTAGTAAGTTAAACTAACAAAAAAGCACTGAAAATGTTTGTAACACAAAGCAGTAAGGAAAAATCTTCGCGCCAAAATAAATCGTAGCAGACTGACAGCATTGTAGCTGTCACAACTGTCACAGACCTACGTATGTAAACACTACGTTCTTTAGGCAGCCTGGCCTGTGTTATCAAAGAAATTAAAACGGAAAAATCTATGATTACACGTCGCAATCAACTAGCGTAATAATTTATTAAATATTCAATTTATTAATTCGCGGCGCTAACCAAACCTGTCCATTTTAACAGCAACTCGTTGACTGCGACACACTTTTACATGTACAAATTCAGTTATACACATTGTTTTAAAACCAACAAAAATTTATTAAACATTTAAATGACTACATGTCTCATAATAAAAAATTACAGGTATCCCTCCCCTAGAGGAGTATAGTCGGGTATAGGTGGTGTTTGCTTCGGCAACTCGCAAATAACTGCTTCTGCTGTAGTAAGTAATGAAGCGACACCGCTGGCATCAGTTAAGGCCCTTCTAACGACTTTTGTAGGATCAATAATGCCTCTTTCAATCATATTAACATACTCGTTATTTAAAGCATCATAGCCGTATTCAGAACTCATTTCTTCTACTTTTGACACTACAACGGCGCCATTATATCCAGCGTTACTAGCAATTGTTATACATGGTGTTCGTAAGGCTTTTTTCACTATGGACACGCCTATCTCTTGGTCAGAGTTAGCTGGTTTCAATTTATCTAAAGTGGGAATACATCGCAAAAGAGCTGCTCCTCCACCAGGTACAATTCCTTCTTCAATGGCTGCCCTAGTAGCATTAAGAGCGTCGTTTACACGATCTTTTTTCTCATTCACTTCGACTTCACTACAACCTCCGATCATTAAAACTGCAACGCCAGCTTGAAGGCGACCTAAACGGTCTATAAGCCTCTCTCTATCAAAATTACTGGTAGTAGTCTCCAAATCATTTTTTATTTCAGCTATACGCTGTTTAACCTCTGCTGGATCGCCTTTTCCTTTTAGTAAAAGAGTTGAATCTTTAGTAATTATAACTTCACCTGCCTGACCAAGACTTTCGGGTTGGCAATCTTCTAGTCTTATTAAGTTTAAATCATCCTCGAAAACGGCTCCTCCTGTTGCCGCAGCCATGTCATGTAAAGCACTTTTTCTGTATTCACCATATCCAGGAGCTTTAACGGCAACTACTGGTAATCCTATTTTCAATTTATTAACTACCAGAACTGATAAAGGCTCACCATCGTAATCTTCTGCAATAATAACTAAAGGTTTCTTCTTTGCATTTGCTATTTCTAAAGCTGGTACTAATTGAGCCGCAGTAAATATTTTCTTTTCTGAATATAGGATGTAAGCATCATTGTATTCGACTCTAGGGCCTTTATTGGAATTTATAAAATATGGAGAAATAAAACCACGATCGAATTTCATCCCCTCTATTACTTCTAATTCGTCATTTAACGTTTTACCGTCTTTAACTGTAATAACGCCATTTTTTCCGACTCTATTCATTGCAGCTGCAATCAATTTGCCAATGCTTTTGTCTCCATTGGCAGATATTGTAGCTACTTGTTCTATCTCTTGTGCTGTATTTACAGGTACAGATATTTCTTTAAGTTTTGCTTTTACAGCTTCTACTGCTAATATAACTCCCTTTCTTATTTCAATTGGATTAGCACCTCTAGAAATATTTTCAAATCCTTCCCTTGCAATAGCTCTCGCCAGAACTGTAGCAGTTGTTGTTCCATCACCAGCTTCTTCATTAGTCTTATGAGCAACATTCTGGACAAGTTTGGCACCAATGTTTTGGAACTTATCTTTCAATTCTATACCTTTCGCAACAGTTACGCCATCCTTAGTAATTTTAGGAGGACCCATACCCTGATCCAGTATCACATTACGTCCTTTAGGACCCATGGTGACGGCTACAGCATCGGCTAAGATATCAACTCCTTGTAACATGAGAGCTCTAACATCCGGTCCGAATCTTACTTCTTTCGCATAAAAACGACGGGAATTTACAGTTGGTATTTTCAAACGTCCAGAAGCATTTTGTATAATTCGAAGCATTTTTACACATAAATAAGACAGACTTTCAAGTTGACATTAACGTCTCTCAATAACATCAAATAATTGAAATAAGATAATCGGCAGTGCGCGAAATTGTTCAAAAAAGTAATAATTTGAAATAAGAATTTTGTTTTTTTTTTCTGAAATTCATAGTATGTAGACATCCAAAGAGGTGGAGCAATTTCAATCTATTAATTGTAATAGTAGAAAGTTCGGGTATTTGAAGGGTTCGCCACCTGAGGGTTCGTGCAGTTACAAACACAATTATACATACACGACAGAGTTGTTCCGTGCGGAAATCGCCCGCGACACGTTGCACGGCAGCCAGTTGGCCAGCCACCGCACCAACCGTGCTGTCAAGTGTCAAAACCAATGATAGAGAATTTGTTACGCCATGTGTTTGTTTCTCAAGTTATAGTATATGTTCTTACTTTCAATACATTCATTTAAATACTGGAGATATAAATACTAAGCTATATTGATGGGGCTTGAATAGCTGAGTCTACTGTGAAAGTATGAATTACCTGGGATCGTACTGGACAGCTTATAGGATAGGACCTTAGCCCTCACTTTTAGGGGCAAGTGCCTAAATCTGACCAGGCCCGCTTTCAACGCTTCTTCCCAAATTAGGGGCCCGAGAGCCTCTTATAGATTAAAAGGACGCTTTGACGGGACTGACAGTATTGAGAGGCCTTGATCGCCGGGCCACGATACTTGACCCTTTAGGAGTGAGAGCAGGGTTTCTTCTTCTTCTTGTTGTTATGAAACTCGGAGTCAGTCGTGATTTGGAATGATTTAATCGGCCAAATGTCCCTACTTATATTAACATGTCTTATGGCTAACTTACACGCTATCAGACATAGGTATATGTCATCTACCAATAGCAGCGCGCGTTTGTCGCAAGGCTCGACAGAGCGGCTGCACGCATGCGCCGTCGCGGTCGCCGTTCGTCGCGATGTCGCGACGCTATAATAAGGCGCGTGCCGCGTGACGCGTCCTTTCGTTCGCTCCGGCAGTATATATTGTATAGTCTATGCGCTCCGGTGCCGCCGACGACTACAGACGTGTCCGTGCCGTGGACCGCAACTTCGTGTCTTCGTGTGCTTCGAGCTTCGCTTCTGCTTGCTTGCCTGCTTATTTGCTTGCTCACTATATCTCGTTTCTGAGCAGAAGTCAAAAACGTTACAAGCGTCTCTTTGGAGACGAGTTTCCGTCAGAAGTCAAAAACGTTTTCAAGGCGGCTTGTTTCACTGTTTCTGATAACAGAAAGTCAAAAACGAAGGTATTGGTTTATTGTTCACGGAGGTATGGTAAAGGTAATCTGGTTCTTCAAGGAGGTACGGTAAAGGTAATCAGGTAATGTGAGGTGTGGTGGTTATGCCATAGAATGTATGGTATGTATGACGCTATAACCTGATATAAATCCATACTAAAACTACATTATAATATACTGGTTGAAAAAATTAAGCCTTGAGGCGATATGATGGGAAATAGCAATCCCGCGGACTACCACCACCCAGAGTGTTCCAGAGAGAAGTCACCATTCCTTATCCTTGGCTTGCCTTTATTGGCTGATCGGGCGTTTCCTCCCTCTTCCGGGCGGATTACGAGCCTACTCAAGAGGAAACGCCATGGCGTCTCACTAGCCGCTCCTCAAAGAGGGGTCTTACCGCTGCTAAAAGAGCGAGCCCGGCCCTCAGTGATTTGACTGCACGGTTGGCGCGGTGGCTGGGCAACTGGCTGCCGCGCAACGTGTCGCAGGTTCGATTCCCGCACGGAACAACTCTTTGTGTGATCCACAGATTGTTGTTCCGGGTCTGGGTGTGATGTGCATGTGAAATTATATGTTTGTAAACGCACCCACGACACAGAAGAAAATCCTAGTGTGGGGCAACGTTTTTTTTTAACAAAAAAAAAAAGAAAAGTTGTGGCAGACAGACGACTTCTTCTCTGCCATGAGATCACACCAGAGCTCATTTCGCAACGCACTAAGGTAAGAGTGACCGTGTCAGTGAGTCTCCACTTGTCATTTTTACGAGTATTAATTACATTGGTGCATTTTATTAATCCCCCGCTAATCAGAACAGCTCTTCGTCTGACTAGCATGTGCTAGTTAATTTGCCAATGTAACGCAAAAATTCGGTGACTTTTAGTATTATTTAAAGTCTAATTCAAATTAATTCTGATGTTGTAAATAATATAATTATATTTAATAAAAATTAATAATAAAAAATTAAGAGCTGTTAATTTTTATCAGTTTCAGACAAGAATATTATGTCTTTATAATATTCTTGGTTTCAGAAGGCTATTTACATTATACATTACTATAAATAGCGAAAAGGTTTTAGTAACTTAGTGTGCTCTCATTTCCTACTCTATGACATGGTTATGGTTATTTGGCTGTCACTTTGTCAGTTGTCAAATCAAGATTGATAACATACATATTTTTGAATGTAACGGCAATCGGCATTTAGATTTAATATAAAAATAGTCTAAGTCTATAGAAATGAATTCATCAAATAAACCGATTGTTTTAAACTTAGAAATTGGTGACCAATTAACTTATATATCTTGTGGTCATGTTATGGTAGAGTTAATTAAGTTTATAGTCTATCAAAGACTACAAATACCATATTCGTACCAGTGGTTGAAGCAAGTTGTAACGAAGAAGAAATCTTGCGAAGATGATAACGTGAAGGATAGTTTTCAATCTGAAAGACATTTTAGAGCAGCATCTACTGCTTTGGAAAATTTGGATTTTATTTTGAAGGTAATATTTTACAAGTTTTTGTTGTTTTATCCTGTGTACTTCCTCTTGTTTTTATATGTAATGTAAGTACCTAGAATTAACATTTTTGTTGTTGCTTAAAGAGTCTTCAAAAAGAAGTGAGCAGCCCTTCTATTCCTGATGAAGTGTGTATTGCCCTGGGAGCTACACCGGTGACATGTAAGGAGGTTTATAGGGTAATCTTACCTACAGCTTGTCATAAACCACAATGTCACTCTACTCTCATAGCTAGTGACCAGAAGATACAAAGGAGTGTGTTTCGGTAATTATAATTCCATTTATTTGTTACACTAACATGTTATTTTGTATGAAAAACTGTTTAGGAAGTACTTTCTTTTACTATGAAATAACATAGTTTTTTTTAAATTAAGTACCTATATATTATAATAAAATGTATGAATGAAAGTGTGGTTATTTTTCAGCTTTTATGATTTTCAAGTTAAAATAATTTCTCTCTGATGGATTGAATTACCCTAAAAATGCTTTGTAGAAGTCACTAAAAACAGATTTTTTCAGTTTAATCCTCATCAATTTGATAATTCTAATGGTAATGATTTATTATTTTTCTTTTGTTCCAGGACCTTAGTAACATCAGAGAAACTGAGTCAAGTATTCTTCAACCAACTCCAACCTACCAATCTGTATGTGTTTATTAAGAAAAAGTTGGTTAACAATTTGGACAGTGTCATAGACAGTGACAACTTTGTATTTACCAGCGGTTGCAGAATACCTAGAAGCTCTAAAATAGTGGTGTTAGACCTTAGAACTAAAACATTTGACAATTTATCTTGCTGCAATGAATTCCAAATATTTGGAGATATTGTTAATCAAGACTTGCAGAACCTACAGTTAGGCGAAACAGAAGAAAATGTGGACGAATTTAATGAGATAGAATCCACTGATGCTGCGAGATGGTATCAGTCTTCGTATGTGATGAAGGGATTTAAAGACTGCACGGTCAATGGTAGTTCTATCACGAACGCCTGGCTCAACTCTTGACTGAATGCAAACTGCAACTTAGCTCAATTATTATTTTATTGTTATCACATATTTTTGTTTATGCACCTAGCATTTTTATAACAATGACTGACATATTTCATGTTGTAAGAATTGTTCTAATCTCATACAACTTAAATTTAATTTAGGAATAAATTAGTAAAATATATTACTTTTATGTTACATAGTAACATATTTGATCATGATTGTTTTAGACTGATACACTGTAATTAGTGCCATATACTGTTATTACAATTACAATATTATGTACCCTTCTGTATGTGTTGTATCTATAATGTTAATACAAATCTGTTAAATTGACAATAGAATATTATTATACAGTATCATCACTTTTTTTTATTTTAAAAAGATTTGTTGTTATTGACAAATATCACAACAGCCAATTCTCCTAAGTCACATAGGTAATTTATTAGCTTCTGTCAGTGTCTTTGCCTGCAGTATCTGATAAAAAGTAGCCTCTGTATTATTTGGACTATGATTATCCCTGTGCCAAATTGGATCCAGATTTATTTAGTAGTTTTTATGTGAAAGACAAAACCAATAACAAACATTCATACTTCCAAAGTTATAAACTTGAGTGTTTCATAATATTATTAGTCACAAGGTCACTAAGTGACAATAAATTAATATTTCTTTTCACATGATGCTTATATTCTAATGTAAGTAAGACTTACATACATAATCAAACATAGTATTACAATTTTATAGATTTCACTTCCACTAGCCCACCATCACCAAATATAGTCCGTTCTTGGTGTGCAACACATGTTTTATGTAAATCTTGATCCACAGTCCTCTTAGTACAGTTTTTGTTATTGTCACAAAGTTTGATAGCGTCATTATATTCCACAATTAAATTGTTTCTATTACCATTTGGCCCCACTATATATTCACATTCAATTGATTTCTTAATCATACCATTTATACAACATTCAAGTAACTCATAATATTCCAGCCAGTATTTATCTGGTAGCTGTTTTAATTGGATACCTAGTGATTCTCTGAGGATACCAGTTATAAAAATGTCATCAATCCAAAAGTAAGGATGGTAAATTGCTTCATCACAGAGATCCCCTGCGACTTTAGGTGTAGTGATGTAATACCATCCTGAGAGGTATGAGGGGTATTCTGATCTTGAGTATTCATCCCAAGTGACATACCATTTGTTTTCCTTATTCCTTCTTGGTTTTGTATTGTTCAGCATATAGCCTAATAATAAATCTTCAGAATATATTACTGTTTTAAGAAATCCATATGTTCTTTCTATGCTGAACACTGTGTCATCATCCACTTTGAGTATGTATGTTGCTTGCTGGCACACTGTTGAGGCCCATTTTAAGCCCATCAAGTGTTTATAAGTTAGATTTCTGTAGTTTTCAGTGAAAGCACCTTGTAGAATATCACCAAAAGTGTTACTTTCATCATTGATAGCAGATTGAGTAATGTATCTGACAAAAAAAAACATGAAAGATATACCTCTAAATTAAATGTCCATAAATTGTTGTAATTGGTGGTTAGTATGTAGGTACTTACTTTTCTTTATCTGGTATTTGGGCTAGCAAAAATATTCTGGCAGCATTCAGTTCTTTTAACCTTTCTGCAGGCATAGCCCTTCTATGAGCACTCCGTAACTCCACATGACCAACATATGAAGTCACTATGATAAGTATAAAAGTATGACCTGTAAATAATAAAATTGTTAAGCAAAGCCTAATAAAAGATAGTGGAAGGTCACAACTACATGTGTGTAGATTTCTAAGAATCTAATAAATTGCAATTTCACAGTTTTATTTGAAACATTTATCTTTTCATCATTTTGTAAATGAAAATATTTAATATGACAAAGTATTTGCGTACGTTACCAAGTTTAGTATTTAATTGAGGAAAAAAATAGGAATATTAATTACTTTCACAAGACGTTATCGCAGGTTTAAGTGCGATATCGTTTAATTTGTATATTTTCCGTTTAATAACGTTGACAGTATCATTAAATTCTGCATTTGATTGCCAATATATCCAGCTGGTGAGTGCTATACCAAGCAAAAAAGCGATGTAAACAAACTTTTTACGCATTTTTAATATTTCGTAATGGTACAATTACATTCAAATACAAATAATTGTAATTTACACATTGTTTAAATAGTACACTTCATTTAATATTATATAAGTAGCATAATGAGTATAATTAAGTTAATTTTAACTTTATTAACAAAACAAACTTGTAAACGTCACTTTGCGTGCGATGACATTTTGGAATGACAGGAACAAAAACAACAGTGCGGATGACAGTATTATGCTTTGACTTTTAAGTTACCTAGTACTTGAGTTGTAGAGTAGAGATACAATGATATGGTTCATTCATAAAATTACTATTATTTCGTTGTTTAGCTACTTATGTAGAATTTGACTTATTTGATGGAATCTACATTTAGTTGGCCGGAGGTTCAAAAGATGTAGGTACTTAAGCAAGTACCTATCCATAAGCCCCACCCATAGCTGGGCATTAACTCGTTAATTTTTTAATAGTTAAGTAATTAACGAAGTTAACATTTAAAAATCGGATTCACTTTTGAGTTAGGTAACTTAAAAATACTTTAACGGACTTGTTAACTTCCGTTAAATTTCCCTTAGTTCGTTACCATCGTTAATTTAGCACAGGTACATGTTCTGAAATGAACGTCTGCGACGGTTGACAAGTCCCTACGGCGCGTGCCCGACACGCGCCGCGAGTGAACTGGCACTATTTTGCCGGCGGGTGTGATTTTTTCAACTCTGTCACTCAGTCTAAAGTAAAACCTAAGAGACAAACATTTTTAAAGGGCAATGCTCAGTCTCGTCAAAATGTGGCTAGATATGAAGTCGAAACACTCGTTAAGCGATGCGGCATTCCTCGGGGAACAGATATTTGCCAATCTGTTTATTAAATATAACACTGCTATACCCTCAAGCGCTACAGTTGAACGTCTTTTCTCCACGGGCAAGGATATTCTACACCCGAAACGAGCCTCGCTTTCTGACGAGAACTTCAACATATTACCTAATGTTCATGAAGGGGAATATTCACATTATGCCAGATTATTAGTATTTAGCAACTAGTATTTTGGATAAATTCAAAATTTGATAATCCAAATGAAACAAAAAACATTGTTTTTCAAAATGCCTATATTACACTCTAATTTGATTTCATCAGTCTTTTTTTATTTCTTACCTGTACTTCCAGAACCAAAAGTTATCACATGTTAACGGTTTAACGACTAACGTTAACTTGCGTTAAATCTTCTGAAAAGTAACGCTAACAGCGTTACTTTTCAGAAGATCTTTTTCATTAACGGATTAGCGATTAACAAAGTTAATTATTTGATTAACGATGCCCAGCTATGGTCCCACCTTTCGCCTCACCTCACTCGGGAGGTAATTTCATAGTGTTTTTTAAGTGATAGGACGGAAAACAAGTACCTATACGGATTTACAACATATATAAGTAAGTACGTGGGTATTAACGCAAAAATTATTATTTAAATACCTTGGTAGGATTGACGTTTCGACCAGGTTGCAATGTCACAGCTCTCTGCATTCGGGCGATACATTTTCATCTACCCACTTATTTTCTTTTTCTACCCTATTAGGCAGTCTACACACTACGCTGACCGTATTCACAGATGTGTTAACCGACTTTGAAGGGAAGCCAGGCTGCGTTTTAAGAATCACATTCCACGTCAATAACAACTTAGAGCCGTCCTCACGATTGAATTTATTTGGACATTTCTTTATTTCAACAGCTTCATGCCCAAGTCTTGTATGGTAGTGGCGATCAGTGGAGAGAACCAGCCATCAGGAGCAGGTGTTCTGCTATCGCTGATTTGTTGTTCTATCGGTTCTTGACTGGGGCAATATTTTCTTTGAGCCAATCAGCTTTTTTTGCCCAAAGTAGCAACTATCGCAGCTGCAGTTGATCTTATAAACACATAGGCTTTGTGACGGCAGTACTTCCTTCGCCGTGCCTACCTTATCATGAACTTTGGCCTCAGGTGTGTAGACCGTCGGTATCGAAATTTTTTTAAGGACGCATGGTATCTTTTCTGCCAAACCCTTGATATACGGCATGACGGCAGGTTTTCTGCTCACGTTTGGATGTCTGGCCCTCTTCAGCGGTCGCAATAGTCGCCCATTCCCTATGCTATATCCGTTCTTTTAAAGTACCTCCTGAACATGGTCTAGCTCTTGCCCCAAATGTTCAGGGTCACTGAGGTCATATGCTCTCTTCTTTGGAGATGTCATCAATGATTGTAAGTGTCGGAGGTGGTGATGTGACTTTTCATGTAGGTACCGATCAGTGTGAGTTGGCTTTCGGTAGGTATTGACAATGCGATATGAAGTACGTCAACATGTATATCACCTAAACAGCATCTACCTAAAAAGGCGCTTCACTTATGAGCTGGAGACGGGCAGGTCGTTGTCATTCTTAGCCATTAAAATAACTACGAGAAAGCCAACTAACCTCCCTCGCACTGCGAAACAACGCTGTAGTTGTTTCACGCCGGTGTTCTGTAAGGCCGTGGTATCACTCCGGTTGAGCCACCGAAGCGCGGCACTCCCCCATACAAAACCAGCTTAAAGAAGGTAGAAAGAAGTAATATGTTACCCTATTTTTTTTTATATTACTGACAAACATGGTAATGTAGACATTTTATTACCTAATTATTATTAATTAGGTGGGTACTTACACAATATTAATAATCCTTACAAGTTTGAACATGGAACATGGATTTTTAATTAAAATATGTTATTATAGTGTTTAGTAATCAGTTATTATCGATTGTAAGATTACTCTTACGCTTGGTTATACTCATAAGCAGCAGTTTATTGATGCGACAGCGAACAAACTACTGTCATTTTTATCATTAATAATGAGTCGTTATCAAGAGCCCGCCTACAAGCGCAGGAGCGCAGGAAACAAGCTCAGTCGACTGATCGTTGATCAGACAGAGGCGCGCGCGCAATACACCGTGTGGACACGATCGACCGTGCTACGGCGAAACAAAAATAATTAAATTCTTAACAGAAATTCAATAATGAAAATGAGTTTCACGATGGACGCCGAAGCAGAGGCTGATGCCCTGACCGCAAAAATTATCACAATGGTATGCCTGTTCGGGATATCCATGATAACTGGCTGCTTGCCATTACTTATATCCCTAAAGTGGGACTGGTTCAAGACGGGAGATGCCAACCTACGTAACTCCAATCAGCTGGTAATGGGTTTACTGGCATTCGGAGGGGGAATCCTGTTCGCGACCACCTTCATGCACTTGTTGCCCGAAGTCGATGAAAACATTGAACATTTACAAGGTTAGTTTAAATAAACATTTATTATTACTCATATGCATATTTCAAATTCATACACACTTAAATACCTAGTTTACTCGTACCTACGTAGGTATACAACCTCTAAAGACGCGAGTTTTTATTTGTTCAGATATATCTAAACGAATAAAAAAATAAATATTCCGTTTAATAACACTAGTTTAAAATCGTACTTACATAATTCTATAAATTATTCGGAATTGTGTCCGGCATAGAGTTTACATAACTCAAATATTATTTAACAGCCATTTAGCATATACCCATTAATGTAATTGAATTTATGTTAATGAAAACATGGTAATATCATGTTTATTTAGCTATTTGTTTAGTGGTGAAAAAAATTTTCATAAATTATCAAACCATATGCGATCATAATATGCATTTATCAAATAAAAGTATTCATTACTATAAAACTGCTACTTAAAGTTTTATGACGTATATTATTATATTGTCTGTGGGATGAATAGGCATTGTTGTGGTGAAAGAAAATGTATTTACATTCTTAAGTTGCAATAAATTACAATTTATTTGTAAGTATTTATCATTATATCTTGTCTGTGCAATTGTGGTTGGAACAGATTTTTTTTAAACTAGCCTCCTTTGTCCCTGCCTACTTTTTATTATCATATTAGGAATCTCTAAATAATTGGCCCTAAAGGACCTTTTAAAAAAGGAAACTTTTGCGGAAAATAGTTTACTTACTAATACTGATGTTTGGTGGTCACCCATAGGTAGGTGTAGGTAACCAAAGTATAATAAAATAATGAAATAAAAATATTGATATCCCTAACAAGTAAGGAAAATGGGATAAAAATAGCAACAAAATACTTACGTCGTTATTACTTTAAATAAGTATATAAGTACTTACTTCTGCATTTGGGTGCTTGACTTTGTGCCTAAAATATGTTAATACAGAATTTTTATGCCACAATAAACAAAAAAATAATCACACTTTCATTCATTGATTAACGATCTATAAATATTCGTATTTTGGTAGGTACCTTTTTTCAAGTACGTAGGTACGTGCCTATTCTATTAGAAACACAAAATTCTTTAAAATTAGAGAAAACGATCGATTTTTAAAATTCGAAGTAGGTATTATTTATTTCGAATATACGTTGAGTAGGTAAAAATCAATAAAAAGGCTGAGATAATTATATTTGTCTGAATGTTTTCAATTGGATCCACGTAACATAATATTACTCTGCTTGTAATTAACATTTTTTTTTAATTTAACAATTTCTCAACAAACATTTCTCTATTTCACGTTTGACTCTTACTCGCGACAAGCGGTAACGTTCCTATTATCACATGTCAGTCACATTATGTCAATTTTCGGAAAACCCCAAATCCCAATATAGTTTTTTATAGTAATTTTCCATCAATACCAAAATGGTTCATGTACTAAATCTAACTCGAAAACCGATGATTTTTAAACAAGAAGCTGTTAACAAATAAGTTGGTACTTATTTTGTCGTCTCACATTTACATGTTAATGTACAAACAAACACCTAACTATCTAAGTAAGGCCAGCTGATCAGGCTACTCCAAGTTGTTTACGCGTTAAAGATTTTCGGCTTTATGTCAATACTATAAAGTTCATTATTAGAGAAAACAAAAATGTAGGAACATGAGTTATATACTAATAGGTAGATTCATGTGTTTGTGTTTTGTTAAATAATTATTCATTTAACTCTCAATTACTGATTAATTATTTTAAGTCCCGCCGCGGCTTTTCACGGGTTCAATGTTGATATATTAAATTGCTATACTGTTTAATGGATGTTATTATACATATAAACCTTCCTCTACAATTTATTATAAAAAACATTAAAGTTCGTTGCGCAGTTTCACAGATTTAAGCATACATAGGCATATAGGGACAAAGAAAGCGACGTTGTTTTATACTATGTAATGATAATAATTGGTATTTAGTTTCGACTTTAAATTGTTTGGAATCAAAAGTCGAATCTTTTATTTGAAAAATTTTAGTTTTTTTGAATTCAGCTGCTATTAAACTATTTCTTGAGGTAACAAACAAAAATATCTCTCATCAAATAGTATCTGAAAATGGTAACACTCGACAGCTGATTATAATTATTATTATCTGTCATTCATACCGAGAAACCCCAAAAATAACAAATAAAACGTCTCCAATTAAAAAGCAATTAGCATTAGTTGAATATCAAGATTACTACTGTTTTTGTCTAATCTTGTATTAAATCACTAAAAAACTGAAGATTATGAAATTAAGAATCTTTAATGATTACCGTAATCGGTCATCATAATAAGATAATATAATTAAATCAAATTCTCTATTAGCTCACAAATTAGCACGTGGAGATGTGATTAAATTGAACAGAAAACATTCATAATTATTAGCTTAGCATTTAATTAAAAAAATATTACATGTACCTTGTTACGTACGCATTTCTTACTTCGCTACGTCACAGCTACGCGTCTTATGCTATCTGCTACGCCACAACTACGTGTTTGTACTACTGGCTACGTATTGTTGGCTACGCCATCGCTACGTGTGGATGTGCCAGCTACGCCACAGCTTCGCGTTGTCGACTACGACAATTACGCTTATAGGCTACATTACTAACTCGTTTAGGTTGTTTGTGTATGTTATATGTACGAGTATGTTTATGTTGTTGTATGTATTCTTCTATCTAGTTTCTGCCAACGATTTTACATATTTTATCGGGATACAAGTATAGTATAGTTTATGTGTTATTTAATAATTTATTTCTGATTTTTGTGTAAAATATTAAAAAAGATCTATACACTACTTATGCAATTGTAATCTTAGTAGTTTTTGAATACGCAACGCCACATTTTCATTCGTGCTTCATTTCAATGACAGTAAATATTTCCAAATTAAAGACGTTAATTAGAATCGGACCTACCCATAGTGAAAATTGTATAGCTTTTCTAATATTCTTTCACACGATTATATTTATGTGGGACCGCCGTGCGATGCCGAGTCTCCATCATTATTCAAACCAGTCGAAAGTTGCATTTAATTAAAATGGATGTTTAATACACGGTCGTGGTGTGGTGGGATATCTGACACAGTTACTTCCGACGTGAAAGGTCATGTGGTCACGTAACAGCTGTCAAGCTGATGGGAATACAATGAGGAGTGATGGTGTTAAGTATACCGTGGGATTCTATGGCTAGTGACCGTAGCCCAATCAAAAATTCCGTTACGAACGAACTATTTGGTCGGTGCGTTGCATAAGATATTCATAGGATTTTAGAAACATTTTTGTTTTTAAAGAACGTTCAACCTTTTTTTTTTGAATCTATATAAAAAATAATCGCTGTTTGTTAATCTTGCTTATACTCGAGAAAGGCTGGACCGATATATCTTACTATGGTCTTGAATTATCTCTGGATATACAGGGAAGGTTTAAAGATCAGTAAAAAACTTAATAAAAATGAAATATAAGTTAAATTTGAGGCGGTATAAAGTTTGTCGGGTCAGCTAGTAGTTTATAAAAACAATGATTTATATGTATATTTTAAGGCACTTAAGGCTACACCACCAAATGGTTCTCACATTTTCAATTGTAATATTACCGCAATAACAGTAAAATAAAATCCTTTGACAAATATAAGTATATTAAACTTTTTAAAGTAACTCGAAATAAAAAGACAATATAAATATATTTTTAATTAGGAAAAGTCAGCGACTTGGTCCTTCTATTACTGGTCATTGAACTGAATTTGCATTTTGCTAATTTATGATGCGTGAATTTGTTACAATAGACTGTTAATAAAAAGAAAACTAATATTTGAGCTTAATTGTTGCAAAAATGTTTAAAAGAAAAAACAATAGTTGTTTGATTGTGAATTAAAGCTAGTATATCTACTGATGCATGGACACTTTAATACTTCGTATTTTCATCGTTCAGAGTCTAGAGTATAATTTGATTTTTTAAATATTTTACTAATTATCTAGTATTCGTATTGTTTCATACTGATTTTTTTTTATTTACCTTTTTAACTTATATTGTTTACTATACTACTGTATACTTCTATTGTTTGCTGGTCGCGGTAGTGACAGCATTTAGTTATGTTTCCATTTCTACAATTTCAACATTGACTGCCCAGTTTGGCCAGGTTCGGTGCTTGAACAACTGGTTGACGTGCGAGGTGTTGCGACTTCTGTTCCCGCACGGAACAACTCTTTGTGTTATCCGCAAATTGTTGTTCTGGGTCTGGGCGTGATGTATGTGCTATCGTAATTTGTAATCCTAATATGGAGTAATGTTTTTTAACAAAGCAAAAACATAATTTTTTATGTGTACCTATGCCTATAAAACTTGATTTAGGACAGGGGCATTCGTAACGACCCCGTTACGACAAACGCGTCAATATAGAGGGAAATTAAAATTTATTACATTGCTAAAATTACGACAACTTTAACATTATAAGGGACTAATTCACTACATTCACAGCCCATCTTATTTTATTTCATTGAGACTCGTTTATCCGAAAGCCAAGGAAATCAAGAACTTTGGCGAAACCTGTTTAGTAAGTTAATAGTTAGGTTTTGAATATTGGCCCTAATACCTGTACCGGTGGGTCATTAATTAATACCAAAATACCATACTATGGTATTTTGTCACCCCAACTTCGCACGGTTGCCATGCTAATATTAAATGTCTTTACTTTTCAATTATACTTACATATAAACCTTCCTCTTAAATCACTCTATCTATAAACGTTCTGTTTTCCACTACCAGTTTTTGCAGTGCATTGTTTATTGATTATTAATTTCCTTAACCATCATTGACGGAAGATTTTTTATTTTAGGTTTTGAACTGTATTGATTTATGTGACATAAGAAAAAGTCACAATACATGTGAAGCGCAATAACAAGTTTTATTTGGAAAAAGTTGCGTAACAATAAAGAAATATGTATTTGATTATAACCCATCTTGCTTCGTCCATATAAAAATAATTAGTTGTTC